AACTAAATTGCAGAAACAATGGTTGTTTTTCATGGCAGTATAATGCTGCTTCCTTTTCTCTTTAGTGGTTTACTATTTTGGGAGGAATAAGGTGAAAGTGTATAAATGTGGAATTAGCATCTCGTTGCAGGGAGGGGTCTATTTGGCACTTGTAGATTTCTTTGATCTCTTCCTCTTTCCCAACACAGTGAAGGACCTTTTTCAGGGATTCATGAATGTAACGTGGTATATTGGTAACATCCCATTTTATGAACATGCAGTCTGCTACCATATGTGCAACAGTGTTGTAGTTCTTCAGACACAGAATGTTTGGGCTTTATTGACAGATTTCTCTGAATCTTATCATTTAATTAAATTTGTGAGATAGGGCTTTTCTTCAGTCATGAGTTATACATCTGTTTCAAATTAATCTAAACCACACCTAATGTCTTTGTCCAAGTCTCTATATGTAAATGAGTATCAATCGCCATGTTGTCTCTGAAGTTTTTCTAAAGCTGATTCTTAACTTTCTGAGTTTGTAAAGGAAACTGGAAAAACAGTTCCCTAGTTACTTAAATAATATAAATATAAAACATATTCAAAAGGATTCATGTACCAGTAACCAGTTATTTTATGGCCATTCAATTCTCTGCTCATGGAAAAAATATCAGACTGGTTTTATAATACTACATCATGTCAGAGAAGCCTGGAGACCATTTTCAAAAGGCAGCTAATCCACTAACATTATGAATTCCCAGCCTGCTAGAACAGCTCTGTAGCGTGTGCTGTGATTTCTCAGTGCTCTAGTACAGGCATAAACCACAATGACCACCACAGTATCCCTAGGTACTTTAAAAATCTGCTAGTCAGTCTGTTCGTACAATGAAATGACAAATAATTCCATAAGCTCCAGGATAAATTAACTGCAATTTTCTATGGATTTGTGTCTTCTAGTTGTTCGACACTCCTGTTTACAAAAATACAAGATTGAGCTAAAGTGTAGCTCACTGATGAGATTTTATAGGGCTTTCTTCCATCTGGTGTCATTTGTGGCCATGCTGTAACTTATATAGATGCTGCTTTACTACTTGGCCTGGCTATTTTCATAAAATTTGAGTGCCATTAGCTATCTTTAACAACTCCATCTTCTGTCAAATTTGGTTAAGAAATTAAAAACTTTTGGTGGACCCATGCAGAAGCAGATAGAATCTATGTACAAATTATTTGCATAAGAAAAAAACACTACTTGGGGGGGGGGGGGAGGAGGGGGTTTGGGGAGGAGGGGAAGGGCTTTACTTACTATTCTAACCTCATTCACCCTTTTGCCTTACATTGTGGAAAGGAGGGGGTGTTAGGGGGAAGCCTTCTCTTCAACTCTGCACTAATTGCAATTTATTGCTCTGTTATCTTTTACAGTTCTGGGTTTCTCCAGAGCAGAGAAAACATGGGGAAACACAGTTTACAAATATGAATTTTCAGCCTTACCATTGGGGGGCCATACATTCCAGCTGGCAACGCATTAGCTTCCGATTTGGAAGCCATGAGCTTTGTTCCGGCTCAGTTCTTAATTAACTCCATGTCCTGAGGTTTGTTGTCTCAAATTTCATTCATATTCTCTAATACAATGGAAATACATTTCTGATATCTGTGAATTTGGGGCTAGATCCCTTACAGTTCTATTTCTGAATTTAAATTAGTATTTTTTTGAATAAGAATGATGTTTATATAAAGTAGGATTATAATTTTTTGATCTTCACATGAAGAATCTCCTAACTGCTAAGGGTTTATAACAACTAATTAAGAGACTGTAAAGGTGCCATTTGTTTCGTGAATTGGAATTCCAGCTGGTCTTGGGTCTAGCACGATAGATATGTTCAATGCCTGTGTATCTCCATGCGTCCTCACTGAAGAAGCCAAGGTTTAGCTGGTGGAGGTCCATTGACAGGAATTCAGCAGGAGTCTTGGGTATGTCCTTCTGTACCTGACTGCCCTGAAATCATTCCATTAGTCTTTCATGCATGTAAGAAATTAATTCACAGCTCTACGAACCCTAGTAATGTTTTAGAGAAATGTATATTTGTACCTAATATTTTTAAAAAGAGTTCCAAATGAAAACATTTAAAAAATATTACCCCAGAAGTATGCCAAGACAAAGCAGCCTTGCATTTTCTACTGTTTAAGGAGCTGTGTGAATTAGAACTTGCCACAGTGTTCTAATTTGCACAACTCACATCTGAGATATTTTCCCAATTTAAAATTAATATGAGTTTACTTTTTGTACTTTTTGTAAATTTTATGGTGTAGTCATTTTTGCTTAAATCACTCAGAATGTATTTTTGTTCTTTAAAAAATTAATCTTTTGGAAGTAATCTTGGAAGTTTTCCAAGAATGTTTTTAACAGCTATAATTGGTTCAAGATCAAATCACTTCTTATTTTACACCTTGGAGGTTGTTATGAATTTCTGCATTTCCATTAAATGATCCTATATTTTCTTCAGTAAATGCTATTTAACTATTCCAGTAATTAATAAAACCAAAGAGTGGTTCCTACTGTGAGTCTTGCCTACATGCTTTTAAGTCTGTGTATCATAGGTGAGGATATGTTTGTAAAGTCTGACATTTAATTAAGTTGTTTTGATCTTTTGTTCTCCTTTTTGCACATATTAATTATTATACCTATGAAGTCTAATTCAATTGTTTGATATGTGTTGATGTTTTCATAATATAACAAGGCTTTGTTTCTTGTGTACTAGAGTTATTGTTTAACTGTGATCACAAGATACCCAAAGCTTTGTAACATACAAGAAAAGTATGCTCATGACCCAAGTTTACAATACTGATTCTTTTCCTTGTAGGGTAAATGTCAGTAATTTGAACATGTGGGTTGATTTCCTTTTTAATGGGTACGTTTGATATAATGGGACTAAGTTCAAAGCTTAAAGAAGGAAACACTTTTAAAAGCAAGAAAGGGGTGAGCCCTACTTCTTACAGTATATGATTTTTAATGATGAGTTTGCCCAGTTCATTTCAGTAGGATTTAATGGAGCTCATGCAGTGATGCAGTCATTTGAAAGAAATGTCCATTTTCTTCTATAAGTAAATCTGCATCTGGAACATCTTTCCAGTAAAGTTCATGCACTAAGTGCAATTGTAATTTGACTCTCTTGGTAGGTTGGTTTTGGTTTTTGTTCCATCCTACTTCCCTAGGCTAGACCTGATCCCTCCCTGGCAACTGTTAGTGAACCTGTTTGGAATGAATGACAGCAAACAGTATAAAGATGTTACTCTGACTGATGTGTCTGAAAGGGACTACAGAAAGGGAGTCTCTATGTAATAGGAAATTTTTATCCAAATTGCTTAAAGAAAAATGTTGTTGCCTTAACCAGTGATTACACTGATTTTAAAAATTAATTCAAAATTACCTCTCACTTCATTGAACTAGCCACTGTTCAAAATCATTTTGCTGAATACTTTGTAAGATGGAACATTCTTTTGATTTACTTTTGTTGCCCTTTAACAGTCTGTACTATGAACTAACTTGGAAAGTGAAGCAACAGGTCAGAATTCTTTCTGTGGGGGATAAATGAATACAAACTGAGAGATTTTTCATATACTTTGATCCACATTAACTCTTTAATACCTTGCAGGTTCACAATTATGGTTAGAATATATTTTGTCATCTGTATGTGCACAGTTTTGACCATATTTCCTCATGCTGAACAGAACACAGAAAGGTACAGAACTAATTTGAAATGCCTATAAACCTCAAGTCCAAAGTTTGAAGTTCTGTCTAGCGCTCATGGAGTTTGGTCTGATTCTTTCACTATGTCTTGCCTATAAAACCAAAGGATTTGCTTTTGTCTTCATCCACTATAACAGTTAGTTACTCATGTCACTCAGTGTGAAACTATATCCTTTTACCTTAGCTTTATGTGTGTTACAAAATGCACTGGGAATGATAGTCATCATACAATTATTAGTTTAGATAAATAGCAGATCAAATACTCGGTTAAATTCTTCTTGATCCAAATGTATGTGAGGTGTATTTCAAAATCACCTAGATAATATATTGGAATTTTTTCAGATTTAGTAGAGCTTAGATGGTAGGAGCTTTTCCACTGTTTAGAACATTTATTTACATAACTGGAGAATGAACGATTTTTATTAGCTAAAATATTGGTTATTCATTTCATTTGATTTAATGTTTAAAAGATTTATTTATTTTTTTTTTTAGGACAGACAAAACAGTCAGTTACATTGCTAGAATTCTCTGATTTTTCTAGTAAATTCCATGATCACTCTAGTAAACTACCCCAAGCTTTTGCAATTTTACAAGGAATATGTTTTCTAGAAAATACTTTTTGAAGTGGTCATTGTGAACTCTTTGCAGACTTCAAGATGTTAAGGATTGTATTATTACAGTTGTTTTGCTTGAAGATAAAGGAACAGTTTGCAATACCAGAAAGATCTCCAGAGCTTCATGTGTGTCTCGAAAGATTTACAAGAAAATAACTCTCTGAGTGGAAACTCCAAGTTCTTTGACAATATGTAATGCTGCTGCTGATTCTCTTCTGAGTTTGGTGGTGTCCTTCATGTTTCACATAAGTGCTAAAGAGTAGATGAGGGATATTTTTCCATTATTTAGGTAAAAATCAGTGCTCACAAGGATTATTGTCTTATAACTAGATGATACTTTGCTAATGAGTAGACTTGTCCTTTTTTGTTGATCTTATTACGCAGGCATGCCTTAAATCAAAACTCTTCTGAGAGGTATTGTACATGCCAGTCCTTTCTGCATTATATCTTGCTCCCTTGTGGCCTATATACATAGGCTGCAAAAGCACTGTAAAAGCTCAATGGAAAACCTTTCTGGCAGGTGGTAACTGGGAATACAGTTCTAGAGGCAGATGTCCATTCCTAATACCTTCAGGTACTGTGCCTTAAATATAGAGCAGTTAAGGATATAAAGTCTTTGGTTAGAAATATATTTGCCTTTGTTTTTTTTTCTATTTATGAGGTTTTGTATTGCTTGCCTGGAAAATTGCTATGACCCTATGTGTACTGAGAAAGTAAGTAATCACCTAGACAAGTGATAATTGTTATTCTTATCTGAAAAAAAGACGTGAAAGAATAGCAAAAGATTTGTCACCAAAAATACAGTCACCAGGTAATTTTTCAATATTGAAAATATGATCTAATCCAACTCACAAAAGCTAAATTCCAATCCAATGAGGGGTGGTTAGATAGGCAGTTCTTCATAATGGAGGAGCAAACTGTTAAAAACAAAGGAATGACCTGCAAAATGATCCTGTAGGCATGAAACAATCATGTAAATGTTAAAAAAACTCAGAACCTTGATTATAAGGTAATAAAGATTAATTATTCAGCTACATAAAACTAAACTGGAATTCATCTTTGGATATGCAGAGCTACACAGTGATGCTTCATTAATATTTAAAATCACTGTGGACAATGTTCAGACCTTGATATCATCTCTTAAAATCGTGTCTCACCTATCTAGAGAGTCGTTGTTAACACAGTCCAGTGGATTTTCATGCCACTTAAGACGGCTTAATTTTTATTTCTTACTCTGATATACTTGCTGCACAGTGATACTACGTACTACATACCCATTTTCATAAAATAGCTATGAGAATATTTTAATTGAAGAAAATGACTGCAAGTTTAAAGATGATATGTGAATTTGATTATTAATAAGTTTGATCAATATAGTAATGAATTTAATAAATTATGTAATCTTTTAAGACAACAAAAAATAACCTTCTATTTTGTATAAAAACACAGGATTTCTGGATGATGTCCAGAAGCTCTCCACCTCTCACCTACCAGCACGAGGGAATGTGGCACATTACGGCATCATATGAACTGATTGTGATTGCCTGCATAGCTTTTTCCCCATCCATTTCAATCAGAAATCTGCTCCAGAGTATGAGCCAACCATCGTGTTTCTATGAGATTTGCAGCAGCTATATCTGACACCCATCGCTGTGCTTCTGTCGCTGAGCTCTGTGGTGCTTCTGACAAATCTGTTTCCCTCAGATTGGCTTCAGCCGCTCTGTTCGGTGTGCCTGCAGACTCTTTTCATTATAAGCAGTAGGGTTGTGGGGAGGAAGAGAATAAAGAAGAAACAAGTAGATTGATAAGAGTGATTTGAGTAGAGAGAGAAAATCTGCACAACAGAGCATTTTTAAGTTTATGTTATTGCAATTTGTGTTTCCTCTTTGGCAAGAGGGAAGCATTGAGTTTTAATAACAACACATGACAGGCTTAAGGGAAGGGATGATAGGGTTTTCTTGCCTTCTATTCAGCAGCTGTAAGCAGCTGTTTGTCCATACTGGCCAGTCAGTACCTAAGAAAAAGTTGGGTTGGAAGTAGAAGAATGTACCTGTAGCAAGTAATAAATGAAGCAGACCATGGAAGTAACTGAAGGTTTGAACATAACTCAGCCTATTTAAATAAGTTATACGTGTCAAGACCATCATCAAAACCTCCTAATGGTAAGAAAAACCCGAGTATGGTAATGTCTTAGAAAAAAAATCAACAACCGTTGAGTATATTCTTTTTGGACAAAGACATAGAAAAGGTAATTGTGAATTAAATCCAGCTGCACAGAGAAGGTAAATGAGAATCAACTCCAGCTGTGCCTGATTTCCATAAGTATCTGAGATTGCAGTTCAGGCTACAGGCCTAGATATAGCACAATTTACTGGATGCTTCTTACTGCCCTTGAGAAAAAAAAACCAAATCAAAACAAAAGCTTCATTTATGCTGATATCGCTTCAACAATATGTTATTGGCATGCTTACACAGTGTGACAGAGCTAAGCTAATCACATGCAAAATATTAAGATAGATGCTGAACAAATGTGTTTGCTTCCCAAAACGTAATGACTGCATGATGTTTTAAGTGGGACTGATTGTGTTGCTTTACATTTTCCACTGGAGTGCTGTGTTCTGTTGTCATATCCATGCCAAACTATAACCCTTTCATTGATTAACACAAGCACAGTCATAGGATACATAGTCCAACCAAGTAATATTATATCATTTCCATCATAAGGGTGTGTATATATACATAGATCAGCACAGTAATAATCATTCCATCAGTGTCTTTATGTATCGGCAATTTTAACTTATAATTGTCTTCTTAGTATATTGTCATTTCCACATCCCCTCCTACTCATTAATGGTATTTATGTATTCAATTAATGCATTTCTTTCAAGTAAAAGGTTATTTTATGACTAAAGCTGCAAGGAGAAAGAAAAAAAAAGAACAATCTATGAGTGGAATAAAATTAGACCTTTTGTGAGTAAAGGGCCTTGGAATGCCAGAGGATCCCAAATGCCTATTGTCTGGGGAAGAAAATGATTTATAATATATGCTAGATGAATTCAGTGTTTGAAAATTAGCAAGGCGATGAGGTTGATTGTTCCAGGACTGCTTTTATTAAGAAATCTGGCATTGTGCTATACATAAAGTCCATGTTTAAATGCTACCTATTTGTCATATAACTGGCATAGTCCCACAGTGCCAGAGTGTTTTGATGAAATAGTGGCAGCTGAGGACTGACAGATAGTTGTCATCTAGATCAACTGTTCCACCACAGAGTTTTATTTAATTAACCAGATATGGAAGAGATATTTTTTGCTATTGGAATTAGGTGAATAAAATAGTATAAAACCCAGTAACTTTTTACATTACTTCTGTTTAAAAAAGAAAAAAACAAACAACAACAACAAAAATCCAAACCACCTGTTTCTATCATTACTTTCTAGTAAGAAAAAAAGTTACAGTCACATCAGCTGCTGAGTTGAAACCTTTTGTTGCATGAGGAGGACTAAATCTATGTTCTAATAGGTAAGTTAAGTATAAACCATAACCATCCAAAAGTGGTTTTGCTCAGAAACTAACTTTTAGGTGTCTAATCTCTGGACATGCAATCTCTCCTACATTTCCTGACTAGAATTATGTCCTAAGAAATGTTATCTAAATACCTGTGTGGTAAGTAGAGGCATACGAGGCTATGTGGCAAGATGTTTCAAGAAATCTGCTTTCCTCCTCTGTTTAAGGCTAAGTTGCCCTGGACTTTTACAGTCAATCTCTGTCTGCTTGGGATATGCAGTCCCAAGGCTCCCCAAGTTATACACCTAGAACTGTTCTTTGAAATAAAGAACATTAGCGGTTTTCTTTTCAAATGTACCCTGTGGAGAAGAAACCTCATAGCTAAGTGTGAGGTTTTTTGCTGTGAGATATACATGTAAAACCTCTCAGGATGAAGAAGGAATTTAACACATTTCCTATTTGCGGTGAGTGCTCTCCCTGTTAAGCTATTACACCATTCTTTTCTTGCAGTCATTATGAAAGGATATTTAGCTGTACTTTCATTGAGAGTAAATTCTGCTTGTACATTATGTATATTTTCCACCACCACCCCGCCCCCCCTGGATTGCACCCTTCAGGATTTAAGGAATCCTCTGCATAATTTTTGGATTCCTTTCAAGCTTAAGACAAACTAAATGAACTGCTAAAACTGGAATAGTTTTGAACATGCTCTGAAACAGACTCTTAGATCCTAGAGGAATTAGGCTAAGTCAAACAAAGAAATACCTCTGTGGTTAGATAGTAGGAAGGCTGGAGCTTTTTCAATCACAGTTATAGACTTTTCCTCAACTGCAGTTGAATTCAGGAGAGAAGGGTTGTTAAGAAAATCTCTAACCGTTAGCGTTTTGCACAGCAACACCCAAAAACTTGAGAGACATAATGTGCAACTTGGTAGAGAGACAGAACGCTTGACTGTGAAGACACTGGTGTTAAAAAAGATGGATCAAAAACCTGAAACATATTTATCCAGGAAGGAAATAAAAAACAGTTTGCGTTTTTTCTCTTGGAGGATATCTCTTCCTCCTCTCTACTCCTGTAAAATAACCAATTTTAGCTGTTTCTGTTCTATTTATCTCAAATGTATTAAAGGAGGAAATGCAGAATACATCTTCTTTTGTCAAGGAAATTACAGATAGCAGTTTCAGTCTTGGAGTAATCTTAAAATTGTCCATGGCCAAATTCAACAATACAACCCAGTGCAGCCAAGTACTTCAGTATGCACGTAATTTTATTCACTTACTTAAATCCCTTTGACTTCAAGAGGATTTGAGCAGTGCTTAAGTGCTTTGCTACAAGAGTGCCTTAAATTGGTAGATGGCAAATTTCAGACAGAAAAAGGAAAACCACAGTTTTTTCAGTCCCTGCTGGTAGATGCCTGAAAAATTGGTTTGATTTTTTCAGATGATCCTATAATTCCTACTGCCTCCAATTTTTTTTTGTTCTTTTGGTGCTTTTTTTTAGAACTATTTTGTTCCGGTTTTTTTTAGGATCCTCAGTTATACACCACTCCCTGCCTCATTCCAAAACTAAAAGAAGAGATGTTCTGGTCTGGTTTCGACAAGTAATGTTCCAGCAATTGCACACAGTGGAGATTTTTTCAAGGCACATCAGGTATATCCTGTATCAAAATGGATGGACCATGCAAGAACACACTTCCAACACTTAACAAGGTAAATAGGAACAATTTCTAATGGGTTATTTTCAAAAGCAGTTAGGTGCTAACCCTAGTGAAAGTAAGTTATAACTTTGAAAATGTCACCTTTTACATTTTGTTTATTTAGTTTACATAGATACTGTCTTCTAAATGTGATAACTGATCTTGAATATGATCAAATTGTCATTCCACTTTACTGGCAAAAAGATCACAAAGTGTTAAGATGATTAATGTAACTGTCAGGTGATATATTCATAAATTTAGCTGACCTAATTCATATACAAAGAGATAATATGTATCAGAGTTTATGTGCCTCACTCACATTGCAAAAACACAGCTTGTGACTTGAGTAAATGCACGCTGAATTACAAATACGAAGGGAAAACAGAAAAAAGGCTTGCTGTGTTTTTATGCTTTTATTTCAAATAAATCTTTAGACACACATCTTTTTACCATATAAAACATAATCCTCACTCTGATTTGAAATGACGGACTGCACAAAAGTTACTAATTAAAAAGCTAATAATTAAAACCAGTTTCTACAAAAGAGAGGGAGAGGTGATATTACAGTGTCCTGTGAGGAAACCTAAGCTTTGTGCTGTTACTCTTTTCCCCACTGAACAGAACAAACTTTTAGCACAAAACCTGGATCTGTTGCTCAGATAAGAAATGGAATGTATGTGGCAGGCATTTAATGAAGGTTCACTGCTGGTCAGACTCTGCCTTTTAGAACCTGTCCTCAGTGTTCTGGCAGAACAACATTCTCTTCAAAAGAAGCACTCTCATGTGCATTAACCAAGTGGAGAACTCACTAGCTGTAGCAGGGAAATAAACTGCATTTCATGTGGGCTTTTTTTTTCCGGAATATTTTTTCAACTAAGTTAGGAGAATAAACAGAAAAAACTCTTAAGGTACAGGCTCCCATGGCATACCTGCACTCAGTCTTACCTTAAACACTATGTTTATGAGGGCCTGTGCTACATCCCAAGCTACGTATTCTCAATCCTCTTTTGGAAGGTCTAACATGTAAATATGACACATAAGATGAGAATTGTTCTGAATGCCACCATTTTTGTTTCTCCTCTTTTCTTTCAAATACTGCTGACTTACTTACCCAGTCATTGCAGCTACTCAATGAGCAGCTGAATTGAATAACTCTGAGTGTATGTTTCAGACAATTTTGGTTAAGTAGCCTGCTATGTGGATGTATAAAGTCTTTAAAGACTCTATCCAGAGAACACTTTGGAAACACTTTTTTCTTTTTTTTTTTTTGGTTCTTCTTTGAAGGTTATTGATAGTGTGGAACAGTCTTAAGCACTTGCTTGAGTCCTGTGCTAGAGCTTTTTGTTTTCACTAGAAACTGGTGGAGATCAGCACTTTTTTGACACTCCTTGTACCAAGTGCTTATAAAGTGTTTATATCTATAATTGTGTCAAATTATGTTGATTAAGCGCTGAAAGACACGAGTAAGTTGAAGTGCTCAAAAAGTGCATTACTCTGAGTGTCACCCAGGGACTCTTCACATCAGACACTTGGGGGACAATTTTTTTCCTTCCAAGCACCTTTAGAGCACTATGGTTTAAAGTGTCTTTCTAGCATTAATTAAATTAAAAAAGCAAGTGCCAGTTAAGCGCACATGATTTACTCTGATCTTCTGAAATGCAAACGTACTTTAGGCTAAAATGGCCTTCCCTCTTTACAATTCACCAGTTTCCTTCTCAGTTGTACCCCACACCTTTTCTGACGGAGTATTCAACCACTAAAAACAGCCATGGGAAAGGCTTGGAGTTAGTTCCGTTATGAGTCATCAGACAGAAAATAGAAGTGTTCAAAGAATCAAATGCACATATTAATGTATCTAATAGCCTTATGAAGAAAAGTCGTATTAGCTTAAGGGAAATGCTGTGTAGAACTGGACCATTCTGAATTTGTTCTTCTTAGGCCTGCCCCCCCCCCCCCCCCCCCCCCCCGGGTTACACACTGAAATTTATGCTGCAGGTTTCTAAAGTAACTGCAGCAGACAAGAGTTACAGTTTCCTACCAGTGAACTTTGATCATATGTTGGTCATTAGCCATATGCTAGAGTCATGTACATGACAAAGACAAAATGGTTTGGCCATGATGGTCTAGTAAAATGGAAGCTTATGCCCCACATTAGATTATTGATCTCTACTGCTATTGCAAAATGGAAGAGCTTCGTATGGCATTGTAGGTATTTAGTGTGAGGACAGAACAAGAAAAATACAGTTTCTAAAGGAGAACAGTTGGAACATAGAGACAGCAGCACAAGGACACCAAAACTTGGTACGTTTCCCTGAAGAGGAAATAAAGAAAAAAAAAAAAAATTCTGAAGTCTGATAAAAAACCAACCAGTCACTTTTAAGAATGTTATTACTGAATATCCTACTTCAAGGGCTATTCTGTTTCATGGTAGAATATTCTTCTTTTAGGTGTGAGGATAACAAGCCTTACATTACCTAATTCTGACCAGACTCTATTAAAATTATTTTTTCACTTTTCTGAGAGACTGTATTTAATCCCTATGTCAATGTGCTGAGAAAGATAGTAAAGATATACCTGAACTTTAAACATCTTTAATCTTTCTCTTTAGCTTTCATTCTTGTTGCACAGCCTCAGCAATCAGATTTCAACACTCCATTCCTCAGAAAAACTCACAGATTTAGAAACCATAGTGAGATAAGATTCTCCTTTGACCAACAGACACATTCCGTTACATCTTTGAAAGGTCTTATAAATAGCAATGTCTAGTGAACTTTTCTAAATAGATAGAATTTTATTTGGCAATGACTAGAAAGTAGCAGACAGGTGGCAGAAGTCCACAGGAGTGTAGAGCTGAGTTGTATACTGCACCTAAGGAGACATCCCAGTCAGTCCTCACTGGAAGCATTATCTGAAAAGTCCTTTTTAGCCTAGAGTTTGTAAACTGAATTGTTCTTAACTTCATTCCCTGGGGAAAGATATCCATTTCACAAATGTCACTCTCAATGTAGCAGCAGTGAAGAAGCCAAGAGCTGGGTAAACACTGAGCATGTTTTGCCAGTTCAAGGTAAAATACATTGTCGGGGTATCTGAAGCCTTTCTCAACAATTGCTTATACTGTGTATGTATTGGAGCGACTTTCACTGCTGTATAAAGCAGAGGCTTTATGCTCTGCAGATCCCATTCCAGTTCTTACCTGCAGGTTGATCCAGTTATTGGTGAAGTCAATTACCAAGGGACTGATTTAGAGTGAGCTGAATGAAGTCTCCAGAGTATCAATTAAACGTAGAAAAGAAAATTTGAATCGTGATTAGTTTGAACTGTTATTGTCTTCTGTTTGGAAGGAAAGGAATCAGTGCTCTGATTGTCTTCTGTAAGGTTACCTATTATACATCGTATCCCTCTTTTCTGTCCTTCTAGCTACTTGATTGCCTATTTATTTGCAATAGTCTTCAGAGGTAATGAACAGATTAAATTTAGATAGAGAGCTCAGATTCACTGTTGGCACAGCTCTGCTGAAATAAGTGGAATTAGCTAGGAGAGTCAAAATACTTTGTGTTCAGCAACCATAAGCTATCTGGCCTGTTGATGACTTCTAAAATCGTGCCAGCGTATGATAGTGTGTGGTTGTACAGCCTAATTTTAAAGGTCTGAAAACCATTGAAATATAGAATGCATTACATTACCTAGATGAAGTAATTGTCAGAATGAGTAAAATTAAGCATTTGGAGGAGGGACCAGTGAGAAAATAATTTTTGCATTTGGGTAATATTTCACTTGGTTAGGTACTTTTTTTTTTTTTTTTTTTCAGTCCTTGGAAAGAAATCTGGTTTAGTTTGGATCCAGGTCTTTTTAATATAAGGTACATACCATCCACCGAATGTTGTGAGTAGTGAAGATAAATGGTATTGGTTACTGTTACATAAATGAATTTGTAATCACAGCATCAGCCAACAGATAGCTTCCAGCATTGTTACTGTTGTACATGCTGCCAGCATTCAGTATTTCTGAGGTACAACAGGTCGTGAAAAATCTCAAATTAACTGACAGACCTTAGGACATCTGCTGCTTGTCTAACTAGGAAGAGAAAGACTGATGAGCGTACAAAATCAGAGGATCATTAAAGTCCAGTTTTAAAGCCACAGCCATATAAAGAGTAGGACAGAATGGGGCACAAACACAATGAAGTTAAAAAGAGAAGCTTATAAGACACAGGAAAAAAAAAAGAAAGTCCTTGGAGCAAGAAGAATGAACATTTAACTGCAAATACATGCTTTAATAACCTGTCAGGGCATACCACTTTGTACTGGTGGCCATGAGGGTTTTTAGGATATGGCTGTACAAAGCTGTGGTGTACCAGAAGTGCCATGAAGCTTTTAGACCTTCAACTCATGAAAGCATAAAAGGTGAGTCTCTACTTTTTACTTTCCAGTATCCCATTTGCATGAGGGAATGAAAATGTAGCCTTCAATAAAAATGCCTTATTTGATGAGTATCTTATGCTACAGAATTTTTTTAATAAAATGTTCATGTATGACATACTTGGCAATTATTTTCCATTGCTCTAAACTTGTATATATTTTCCTTATGCAGTCAGTACATAACTCCAATGATGTGTTTTTCCCTTTACACTTACAGTAAGTTAGTTTTCATAAGGATGAGAAAGTGCCTCCTGAGACAACATATTGCTGAGAAGAATTAGAACACCAAAGGTAATAGATCTCTTAATTTAAGATAGAGCCACTTGCCATTTCTGTTCCTTTAAAAAGCAGTCAAATCTAATTATAGAGATTTATCTTGGATTAAGGAAGAAAAATACGAAAGTAAGCACTGCTGCTTCTACTCTAGCTCTAGGGTTAAGGCTTTTCTAAATGGGAATTATGCTTAGTGAGGACAGTAAAGTACCATCAAATTCTGAATTAACTGTTCATATGATGGGAACTTTGTTGTTCTGAAGGTATTTTCCTTTTCACTGGCAATTACCGCTGTTGGGGAAGAAAGAAAAACGGTGAGGGGGAGATGCTTTTTGAAAGGAGGAAAGCACTTCTAATAGTTCTTGTAAAGTTGTATTCAATTTAATCCACAGAATATCAAAATTTGAATGAAAGAAAACACTTGTGATCCATCTTAACTAGAATATTTTTAGAGTCCAACGCAGACAGCAAATGTTTCAATAAAAACTACAGACACTCTGGTTGAAAAATATTAACATGCAAAGAATCACTTTCAGTGCAATTTCAAAGACAACTGTTGCATTTCCTCATCTTCCCCTTTTGCTCATGACCCTGGAATGTTTTTTATTTTATCATATCTTCATTTTTTTCTGATAGTGTTTGTTCTCCAAATGGAAATTCTTTAGTCCTCATCAAGATATCTGGTATCCTTCCCTGAGATATCATCTATCATGGACTGTTTATCACTTTCTTTATCTGGGGCACACATGTGCTGGCCTGTATTTGGAGACCTCATTCTTTTCTGAGCTATCAAAAAATCTGGGGAGGAACAGGACAACAAAAACCAAGCCACCTCCTAGAAACAAGGTTTCACCCTCTTGTTGTAGGAAATGTGATCTGACTTTATTTAGTAAAGTAAAAGATCAGCTTTATGCCAAACTTTCTGGTATTTCATTGTTACCCATATGAGGAGAGTTGTAGAAATTATGTTCTACCTCTCTCAAAAATCTTGGTATTGATATTGCACAGCCTTCAATATTTAGCCCTCAGTCTGGTTCCAAGGCAGAACTAAGGAATCAGAGTATGTTTTTAGTGCATTTTATTATGGGTATCTGTGATCTAACCCTTAAAACTGCAAGCATCTCTTAAAGCATATATTCATAAAATATAAAGCCAGAGAAGACTTTTAATGTCTTCTGTTAAATGTAAAAAAACCCCATATATATTCCTAAAATGTTTTGAGTATTTTCTGTAAGCAGCTTAGGTAGAAGACTGACACATGGACAATATAATAATTTGGAATTAAAATAAATATCAAGAACTGAACAATATCTATTTTATTTTTCATGTTTTAGTAAATCATTGTTCTCAAACTAATACACTATTGAATGATTAGAAGTTGTATTCTTTCAACTTCATTATACTTTTTTACCGATCACATTATTCTTGAGTTTCTTAATACAAATATGCCTGGAGTTACGTTTTCTGAAGAAAATATCCACAAAATGAGAAGTCACCAAGAAGGAACTCCTGAATGATATCTACATGTACAAAATGAAATGACAAATACATATGAAAGGTGAGTGTAAATTTGTAAGAAGTATATCCAAAACATTCAAAATGCAACCTAAATCAACTTCAAAGAAAAATGTGGGTAAGTTTAACTGCAGTGGTTATTTGAGGTAGTTGGCTGAGTATAGATGACAGATGAAAATCTGTTCATATATTGATCAGCTGCAAGAAGAGAAAGAACAAACAAAACAAATAACAAACTCTGCGGCAGTGCAAAGACCCATTTGAATTTTACCCATTTGGTATGTTACTTTTCTGAGTAATGAATGGAAACATATGCTCAACACCAACTTGTCCAGGCATGGCCCAGAGGATGCACTAAGGACATAAACAAGAGTTCAGAGTCTTTGACTAATTACAGAAATGTATATTCAGGAGATTGGACTCTACTATTCCATTAAGCCTCTTCCAAAGAACAAGGGCAGGGATGAAAAGAGAGACTTTGCAGCATGGTGAGAAGTAGTGAGAAGTTTGCAGAAGATTTCAGAATCTAAATGAGCTGTCCTGAGATCTCTGTTTCTCCAGCACCAACAGATTGGATGAACACATGGCCTTATTTTGCAACTGCAGCAGGGACTGCACCTCTGTGGACACCCCAGGAGACACCTACATAGCAGCATGAAAATCCCGCACAGAGATGACACTTCTAAAGACATCACCCAGCAGGAGAGAGCTGAGCAGGCAGTACAGGTGACAAGGAAGTGCAGTAGTGCTTTCTCCTGCAGACTGGAGAGGAGCCTGTCCCAGTGAGTATGGAACACTACCCACAATCAGGTGTTCTAGGCCCTGTTTGGAGATGTATTTTACTTTTTAACTTTCACACTCTGCTTTTTAACTTTCACACTCTTTCCCAGACTAGTGCTATATTGCAGTTTCATGCTGTACTCCAGTTCCATTTAATGAAACTATTTGTTTCATACCAAAACTTTTGGTTGCAATTGGGAATGTATTGTCCAGTGAGTGATCCTGAGAAAAATGTTTCTCCTGCTTTTGGAGGAATGGGAATATTGAGCTGGTTTTAATTCAAGTTTTTAAGAACTCTTGAGTTCTGAACTTGGCCCTTGCTACTATTGAAAACTCCTGACAGAGCACTCAAAATACTGTGTACGCTAGGAAAAAAATATCTCCAGTAAATAAAGTGGTAGTAACTCAATATTATAGTCATTAGTAATCTAATTAGAAATCATTAGAAATCTAAAAGAGTAATTCTTTCAGCAAACCTGAAGAAGGCTTCCAGAGTTAATGAATGATTCAATCCATAACTGGCCCGAAAGAAGAGTATTAAATACATTTGTTTAAGATGAGTACCAAGCTTTAGCCAGGAGGAAAATCTCATAGATATTCTGCATATGAGTGTCACTGAAACAAGTCTGCCTGGAGTATGAAGCTTCTGGTAGCACTGTGACCCCTCTTGTCATTAATGCTACTTTTACACAGGGCTAAGCATTTCTGAATTTACTTTTTTTTTTCCCCCAGAATATTTCCCTCACAGCATAATCAACTGTTTCAAGTTTCAGATTTGAAATTAACACACTTGATCAGACACAGGATTATTTATTGCTTCTTACAAAGTATAAATGAGAAACTTTCACAGTTCCAGTGCAAAAATGAAAACAAAACCTGGCCAGATCTGCAGACTTATCCAGATATTAAAATGAGACTTCAGTAGTGGTATATTTTCTGCTGGAACTCTTACAGACTTCTTTAAAAGAGCTCAAATTTTCTCTGCAGTGCAACAACCCAAGGCTCTGTAGCAAGCGTCCAATATTCTGTTATTCATCTGTAACAATGCCAAGAGTAAAAGGGGAGGAACTGTTATTTAAAAGTCTGTAGAGACAGTACTTGGTTATTTTCTTTAACTCAGCGATGAATCTCCTTTTAATATATGTGGAGAACAAAGCAGTTCAGACCATTACACGTTCTAAACAGAATGTAGGAAGAGAGACAATTCCTCACGCACTTGAATGAGGTGCTTGTAGGCAATACTTGTCTAGCACACACCTCTTCAATTTTCAATCCCTGCATTGTAAACGGCTCAAAATATCTACCACACTGAAGAACCATTTCCTCATCAGTGAGGAGATGATAGGTTATTAACTTTATTTTTTTCTCTTTTTTGTTAATAAAATCCTTCATGGATTAAGCAAGCAGCAAGTTAATCACAATGGAAAATATGTAAGATTAAAGACAAGGCACAAAGGCTCCTCAGGGTGCTTAGCTGTTCCATCTGCCCATTTAAAATCCTCCTCTGGCTGTGCTTGAGAGGTGTGATGTGCTAGGGTGAGCACGGATGGTGCGTGATTCCTCCTGTTCTGCATTCACCTGCCTGGGGCAGTCACATTTTGAGAAATGCTCATCAGAAAGTAAGGGGAGATAGTCCTTATGCAGCAAATTCATCTGCAGTGTTTGATAGCTTGTCTTCAACCCTGGCATGTCACAGTGGTGTTAACCTACAGAATCCATGGGTAAACTATCTCTCCGCTGGATTCAATAGTTCAGGTTTAACTTTAATGTTTATTGTATGCATTGGCCTACAATGTTAGGCTTTTTTGGGGTTTTGCCCTTGTTTTCCCAGAAGGGTTGAAGACATCAGGCAATCCCAGTCTGCCCTTCAGTCTGGGTCGCACCCATCTAGCAAGTGCCTGATTTTATCCGATCGCACAGTGGTGCTTAGAGCCCATGAGGAATGTGGGAGTCCTGGCTTCAGTTTCTGACTGCGCTTGACGATTGAATCCACATGGCTACAAGGTATTTAGGATGGAGATAATCCAGATATTAATTGGACGCAGAAACTGGGAGCCAGAATTCCCTTCTCCCAGGTGATTGCTGAATCAAGGTAGGTTCTGGAGTAATATTTGTTCTTACAACTATGGCTTCATAGTCAGGATGTAACAGCAAATGATTCTCCATTTATTTGAGGAAAGTGATTTCTCTGTTTATTTGAGGAAAAAAAAGATAATTTCACTTCAATGGAAATATCTTATGTCGATTTTCTCTGAACTGGCCGATGCTGAGTGTTTGTTCATCTTTTTTCTATCTACAAACATTTTACCAACTTCCATCACAAGCCAAGAGGACTGCAGTGTTTCTCATCTTTATGGTTTGACAGTGCACATTAAAAGTGAAGTGGTTCGACCTTGTGATTTTTTTTTTTCCTGTTCTACAGAACAGAGTCGGCAAACTACAGCTATCATGTTAGGAATATATTCAAAAGATATTACATCAGTACCTAAGGTGGCGAGTTTTAAAATTTAACCAAAGCTGCTTAAGGAGAATGTTTCTTTATTTGGGTTTTATTTTGGGTGGGGTTTTTGTTTTGGTTTGTGTTTTTCTGTAACAAGCAATTTCTCAGTTTTGGTCTTTATTTCATAAATTATAACTAAACAGAAGCATGTCTCTAATTTTTTTGAATGTTCCAGTACTGCTCTTTGCTTGAAATTTTTTTTGCCAGTTTACTGTTCAGTAATAGACAAGCAATAGTGATAATTATATACACATATATATTTGCTATTCAGAGCTGGCAAATACACATACGGTGAATAATTTTTTTCACAAATATAGTGATGCTTATATTTGCAGAAGTAAGGGATACAAACAAGAAAAAAGTAATGGGTATGTTATGGAATTGAAATGACAAGAAAGTTTTAGGCAGTTATACTGCAGTTATTCAAGTTGTAATCTGATGTTGTCATCTGTCTGGAAATGTTTATTTTCAACTTCCTAACATGAATATTGCCTTGACTAACTGCAGTACACATTACAAATAATATCTCTGCTACAACTATCAAAGTATATAGGCATAATCCACAGACACAGCATCTCAGAAGTCTTATATTTGTTAAACAGAATTAACGTTCACCCTGTATGCTCCCTCACATGTAAAAAGGACCCTTTCTCAGCATTTACATGGTTTCATTGGTAGCATTTTAATGCCAAAATTCTGTATATAATTTCTGATGCTAGAATAAAATGGATATACTTTAAATTGCAAATTAATTTCCAAGCACCCCAGTCGTATCAATGTGTTGCTTTGTCCCACTCAGAAAATCTCCCTTCAGTACATGATCAGCAGTGAAATTGCAGGGACTTGCAGATAGATTTGAATAAACTCATTTCTATGAAGACATAAGGAAGAAATGATCAGAAGTTCAAAGGTCAGAGCTCCCTGTTTAATTTTTTTATGATTTCCAATTCTTGATGAGGTTCCCAGTATCAACATTCTGCTCAGTTATTTGCCCAGCACTCATCCTATTCATATTTGATATAGGATAATTAGCAACTGGCCTTGAGAAGTGCAACCCTTTCTACCATCTGCACAATCAATGTTAGAAAGTGTTCTGCTTCCTAGGGATAGCCATGTATTTTTCTGTATAGCTCTTGATTTATTAGAAGGGATGTAATGATCATGAAAAGTGTTAAACTTACAGCCTTCTATCGACAGTAGTTCTGTTTAGCTTCATTAGATGTGATGCTAACATCTGTCTGGTGAAATGGAGACCACCTGCTCATTTTATGTAAGTTCAAATACTTATTAATTTCTAAAGACCTATATATTCAGCACATTAAGCAGTGCCAATGATAAGAATGAAAATATTTGTGATTCCTTTTCAGCCTTGCAATTTTGTCTTTTTATTGAACTATTGTATTATACTTCCTGTAATTCTTTGTAAGCAGGCAAGAGTAACAGGTCTTTGTCCTTTCAAGCTGGCAATTTAAATCCCACTAAGATACCAGCCTGAGGTGGCAGTGCTAATTTCAATGATTGGCATGAGGACTAGCGAATGCACAGGCTTTGAATGATGAGATGTGTAAATGGTTTGTAAACACTGGAAAAATAAGCACATTCTCCAGCATGACTTGCCAATAGTAATAGGTGACATTAACATGAATTCATAGTAAATACTTATAAAAATGAACCGATTTTTTGCTGGTCCATGACATATAAAATGATGCCTCATCTCTCCTTTCCCTTAAAAACAACCAATGGAGTCTAAACTCCTCTGTACACAGTAACCTGTGTCATACTTCATTAGAATCATAGAATCATAGAATAGTTAGGGTTGGAGAGGACCTTAAGATCATCCAGTTCCAACCCCCCTGCCATGGGCAGGGACACCTCACACTAAACCATGTCACCCAAGGCTCTTTCCAACCTGGACTTGAACACTGCCAGGGATGGAGCATTCACAGCTTCCCTGGGCAACCCTTTCCAGTGCCTCACCACCCTTACAGTAAAGAATTTCTTCCTTATATCCAGTCTAAACTTCCCCTGTTCAAGTTTTAACCTGTTACCCTTTGTCCTATCACTACAGTCCCCAATGAAGAGTCATAATAGTATGTATACATAATAGTCATACATAACAGTACGTATAGTACTTAGTGTAGTAGATAGATAGATAGATATAGTAGACAAAATAGTATCTTTAAGCACAACAGCTATTACTTTCGTTCACGTCTGGCAAGACCCTTTTTCTTTCTCCTAAGGGAATTTATACTATGATGAATAAAAAGAGAGAGATAAATATTAAAGCTATGGCAACCACAGCTAAACAAATATCTCTCTTTATCAAAAAGACAGACCATTTCTGGCATCTTAAAGAGATTTTTTTTTACGGGCTGTTCTAACAAAGTCCTAGAAAAGTCTCCTACTATTAAATTAGTATGTCTGTTCAGCATGCTTGCATACCAAATGGGAATTTATGCTGTGTTAGCCAATAATGCACTTGCAGAATTTTTACCTTAATGCAAACAATGATCTTAATAAGCATATTAAATTGGAACACAGTATCTGATGATGTGCATTTTATTTTGCTACTAACAGGCTGAATTACACGCTAAAGGTTTGCTGTCAAATAAAAACCTAGCCAGTCCATAAAAGTGATTTAATAACAGATTCCTGTAGTGCAGTATTCCTGCATCTCCCTTTAACTACTGTGGTTTTAAAATCCATCTTTTCTCATTTCATTTACAAAAATGCTTCTCTTTTGAGCATTATGAAAGTGAAAAGGGCTACAAGCATGCAGGTGAGCTAGTGAAGCCTGCCACATATGATGACATGAAAGCTGTCTGTGTTAAAGGCAGTAGGAAAACACTAGTGAGGAGGAATTCTCACATAAAGTACAGTCATATACAGAATAAAGACATTGAAAATAGGCAATAGCATTGTCACTACTACGTATCTCCCAAACTGAATAAATTAAGCCTTTTCAGAGGGAAGTAAACGTTTTTGAAATAGATGGTTAAACTTTGACTATTTAAAACCAAGTTAAAGTTTGCTGAAGCAAGTGGGAGCATTTCCGACTGAGAAGCATCTGAAAAAAAACGTTGCTTTTTAACTTTTTTGTCCTAGGAGGATATTCTATAGCTGCATTTTGTGATTTTTCCTTGTATTTAATCACTGTATTGTGTGATTCCTTCTCTACCTTTCCCACTTTAGGCAAAATATAATCTTGGAACCCAGCTTCATAATTTTGATATGCATATAATTTTACGTAGTTGGTGAATCCAGCATGCAATGGTAAACAGCAGGGAGGGGCAAAATGGAAACTCATTTGTTAGTTTTCCCGCTTGGAGGCAGTTATTTTTATAAATTACTGATATTGGACACTGTAGGAGTGCCCTTTTTCATGTACACTGAAGTACTTCACTGGCCCCAGGAGTCACTAAGACTAGTGGATTTTAATAGTTATAGATCTTAAATGAAGGGTTAGAAATTGTTTCTTTTCATTACAATTACAACAAGGAATTAACCCCAAGGGTATCCACTTAATTTCATAATATATAGACTGGAACGCTAATAATGTGTCTCTTCTAAAATGTAATAAAGAAGCAACTGCCCCTTGGTTCCCTAGGGTAGATTTTTGTAAAATGTATTACAAAAAATGTAACACAAAGAAGGTTTTACGTTAACAAGCTTTGCAATGTCACTAGCTCCAGTGCTCAGAGTGCTCTGAAGCTCATAGACACCAAGCATTGGCACTGTTTTTACAGCAGGAATTTAGTACCAGCATTTCCGTATCACTTCACTGATACAAGTTAAAACTAAACCAGTGCTAGGAGTGGAGGGTAATTTACAATTAAGTACATAAAGAAGTGAAGGAGCAGAAGGAGGAAGAGGGAGTGCAGTAGTACAAAGTAATTACTTCCTTCAAGGTCCACTTGGACCTATCCACCGGCCAAGTTTCCTGTGTTATTTTAATCTTCCATGCCCTATTGCAAATCAAACCTTGCCCTTACAATTGGCAGCAAGTGAACTTCAGTACATTTGCAGTTCCATTTGCACTTGTGAGTAGCAGAGTAGCCTCTGACCTCTCAGTCATTATGGATGGTGACTGTGGAACAAATTCCTGGCCAAGATCTTACTGGATCAAGCCATGGTTTTAAATCTAGGTTAAAGACATTTCTATTTGCTGATTATTTTAGTGGGTCTGACTAGATACAGTATCCTGGGAAAGCTTTGCGGTAAAGACAGCAGAAAAGAAGTACACTAGATGTGCCTATTCTGTACTGAAAGGAAAAACATGCAGTTAAAAGAAAAGTCCTTTTTGTTTTGGTTTGACTTCTAATCGTAATGCTTCTAGGCATTTCTAATAGAGGTTCTAAGATTGTTGCTTCTTGAAGAAAATTTATTAGGGAAGAAACTGTTGGCCAGTGTTTTTTAATTATTCATGATATGCCCAGATTTCTGTGCATCTACTTATGTTGCAAATACTCTGTTTGCAACAGCAAATTTAAATAAATTGCCTGAATAATCACAGGCATCTGCAAATGCTCAGCTGATGTGTTTTCACTCATTCCCTAAAACTGGGTACCCCAGAGTTACTTAGTAAGAATTTTACCTATAATTTCTGGCTTGTATGCATTTATTGGACTCCTACTCTCAAATGCTAAAAATCGAAAGTCATGATCTCTGAACTAACTTTTCTAGTTAAACTGATAGTTCCCATTCAATTTATGTAAAATTTTCTATAAAGATGCAAAAGCACCTGTCTTTAACAAAAGTTACTGCTGCTGTCAGAGATATGCCAAGGCAAGAGAGAATAGATGTCTAGAAGGCTGCCAAGAAAAAGAATGGAAATTGAAAGAGTGAGATAGCACTGTTCACTAACACAGTACATGGCAATGCATCCAGCAGTACATTACAAGCAGAGGTGGGAATGCTAAGCACCATATATGCCTACAATTTAGATTGTATGGGCCTGACAGGAAGAGGCATAGCAGTGTTTATTTTAAAGGTTAGGAGATCAGATCAGAAAGATTACAGAATCGCAGAATGGCTGAGATTGGAAGGCACCTCTGGAGGTTATCTTGTCCAGTCCTCCTCCTCAAGAAGGGCTACCTAGGGCCAGGTGCCAAGGACCATGTCCAGATAGCTTTTGAGTATCTCCAAGAAGGGAGACTCCACACACTCTCTGGCAACCTGTGCCAATGGTCAGTCACCCTTACAGTAAGAAGTGTTTCCTGATGTTCAGATGGCATTTCCTGTGTTTCAGTTTGTGTCCATCGCTTCATATCCCATCACAGGACACTAGCGAAAAGAGCCTGGCTCCATCTTCTGTGCACCCTCTCTTCAGGTATTTATGCATATTGATGAGATCGCCCCAGAGCCCTCTCTAGGCTGAACAGTTTCAGTTCTCTCAGCCTTTCCTTGTAGGAGAGATGCTCTAGTTCCTCAATCATCTTCGTGGCCCTTCTCTCTAGTATGTCCATGTCTCACTTATATTGGGATGCTCAGAATTGGACATAGTGCTCCAGGTGTGGCCTGGAGTGCTGAGTAGAGGGGAAGGATCACCCCCTTTGACTTGCTGTCAATGCTTTGCTGAATGCAGCCCAGATTACCCTTAGTCTTCTTTGTTTAAAAAACAAACAAACAAACAAGAAGAGTGCCTCTGCAGCTGGCACTTTCAACTCACAGTGAAGTACAGTGGGTTGCTTTCTACTGAGACGCCTTTGTGCCATTTCAAGCCTTCCCTCACTTTTCTTTTTCTTAATTTTTTTGCTTTTCTTTTTCCATTTCTGATTTCCATGGGAAGTCACCTCAAAATTTTGACTGATAAGCTCCATCTAAAAAAAACCTAAAACAAAGCAAAACAAAACTCCCCAGAAAATAATCTGGGAGAAAAATCTAAATTCATAAATTTTGCCAGACAGTTTCAGTTAATTTTATTTTACTGTTATTAAATTTGGCATTTATGGGCCTTTTTTTTTTCCTTTATTGGCATATTGGGGAAAGATTTACATAAGACAATTTACATTTTAACTTTCATCACTTTCTCCAGTTTGCAATGTTAATGTTCTTAAATGTATCCTGAAGCCAGAATACTCTGTAAGAACAGCAAGAGCAAAAATGCC